CTGGTATAGGAAAATAATAGAGATTTTTGTTCTTTCTTAAATGCCTCTTCATTCTTAGTGATGTTTACATGCGACCTAATGACAGATGACAGGACGATTATCTTTTCTAGATTACTGGTCTTTTGATAAGCTTTTAAATTACCACCAATGGTTAGCAAAGGGTCAAAATTTTTTTGGAAATGGAAATTGTGATTATCTGAAACTTTATTTGTAAAGTTTCATCCACTACTCACACATTTGATTCAATAACAGGCTATAATATAAGAGCACAAGACTGAAAGCTATTCTCTTGGAGTAACATATGTTCCTCCTCCCCTTTCCAATGAAGATGAAAGACAGCATTTATTTATATGCAAGCACAGCAGAGTAATTAAAAATTACTTTATCTCTCGTAACTTAGAGACAATGTATATTCTTTAGATTAAAAATGTAAGGTCAAAATTATCGTGTTTAATACATGTCACTTTTTTAATTTTTTTGGCAGCTGGCCGGCTGGGATCCGAACCCTGAACCCTTGTTGTTATCAGCACCATGCTCTAACCAAGTGAACTAATCGGCCAGCCCCATTTTACTCTTGGCTGTGCAAGTCTGTGAGTTACCCAGGTCCACTGCTCTTTACTCACTGTCTTTGAAAAAGTGTTTGGATCAGATAGAGGACATCGGTCTTTTTATATTTGAATTCTAATAAAAAGTAAGGAAATGAAAATGCTATGCAAACTTTGATCAGAGGAACTTCAATTTTCTTTTTCTTTTCTATCTATATTATCAAGAATAATTAGATTGTTCTAAATAATTAATGATTATAAATTTAAGTAAAACATCAGTACTGGTTTCCCCTAATTAGAAGTACTAAAATACCTAAATGATGAGAATAATGATAAACCTCTTCAATTTTACTCAAGCTAAAATGTAAGTTTTCAAATGAAAATTAAATGAAAAAAATAATTATGCGGCCAATTTTTGGGTAGGCGTTATTTTCTAAAACGTAGCAATTTTGTGCAATAGAGTAACATGCAAAATTAGACATATTGTTAGTCTCTAAATAAACTAAAATACTATATATTTATTATATAACAAAATATATAATATCTAATATATATAATTATATATAACGATGCTACTTAAGTGATATAATTAGTAGGATACATTAATCCTAAAATCATTCCAATAATCTCCATTTAGCTTGCTAATTTTTATATATTACTGATGTGATTTGCTGTTTTGATACAGTTATCAATAAATGATGCTCATGACTAAACCATTATTTGATATAGGAAGCCATATTAAACTATTCCAGTGACTTCCCCATTAAATTGATATTGCTATGTTTACA